AGCTACAGGACAACTTAGGTGACTTAGTCTGCAGCCACCTGCTCAAGCTAGTTCCTCGCTTGTGGACTTTTATACTCTGAAGATGGAGGCAATACATTACTCCAAAACATCGGTTTACACTATATCTATACAGTGCCACATCCCACAAGACGGCATTCTTCACGAGTGACATTCGTTACATACCAAGACACTATATGGGAGGGGGGGTAGTAAAGTTATCCCTCTAACAGACTGTGGAGGTCCATAGAGTTGTGTGACGTTGTGGCTCCCATATTTTCTAGACAATTGGCTCACAGATGGCAGTGAGGTTGTCAGCCTTATGTGCCAAGATATCCCTATAACAGATCGTGGAGACCCATAGGGTTGCGAGACATTAAGGCTCCCACATTTTCTAGACCATTGGCTCATTGATGGCGGTGAGGTTGTCAGCCTCACACACACCGGCCACTCTTTACCCCCCACAAAAATTCCTGGTACTCATTTTTGATAAGAGGCTGAGTCAACCCCAGAGCCATAGTGCAGCTGGAAGGATCAGGTCAATTGAAAGAAATTAATGATCTCGTCGGGACTTGAACCCATGACCTTCCAACTTGTAACATAGTGCCTCAACCAACTATCATACCACTACTAATATTAAATAGTAATGATTAATATCTTTCTACTAAAACCCCTAACAAAACTGCAGTATATGATTAAATATGTACCATTTATGAAATTTATGAAATATTATATGCAACAATTAAAACCAATACTAAAGTGTCAATATCTCTTAATTTGAATAGGCCTATGTTGTACATAAAGAATCTGCTAATGACTCACCAGTCTCAACTTCATTCCCAGCTCCACGTTTGCCTTCTTCTTCCTGACGTTTCTCCTCTTCAGTCATTTCCTTCTTCCTGCAATGTAAATTTTGTACGAGATTAGCAGAACGCAAATGTGCAGTCCAAAAATTACCAATTCACAATTACCTTGAGATAGACTGAAATCTGAACTGCTTACCCACGCAACCACTGTATACAAAATTACTGCACTGTAAAGTACTGGCTACACTGTGTAGGATTTGAGCTTCTGACAGCAGTGGTTTTGAAGAGTTCTGTCATCTGGGATATAATGCCGTGTAGTCTGTCAAAAGTCAACAGACATTTTGCAGAAACATGTCGCCTCCATCTTCAGGGTTGAAGAATAAATCAAGCAAGAAACCAGTGCTGGCAGGTAACAAAGCCAAGCTTCCTACCTGCTTCATGCTGGCTTCTTGTTT